AAGAGGAAGAAAAGAACTTGAGGTTACATTACTGACAGTAAAAGAAACAGCAACAAGGGCCGCGTTCGTGTGTATACTGTTCCCGGACGCACGTACGTGCGCCAAACAAAAAAAATACGATGGGTATATATTTGCCGTTGTGCTCGCATTGCACACGTAAACGCACATGCAGGCGGCACGGGGCACAATTTGGCGGCGCTCTCCGCCGGGGAAACTCTGAGCCCATCCCTGCTGCTGCTCAAAGAGGCGTCGCCACGGCAACGACGACGGCAACGGCGGCCAGCACAAGAGCCCCAACATGAACAGCCACAGCACTGCCATCATTCTTGTTGGGGCCGCCATTGCCATCGGGGCCATAATTATTGTTGGGTCCCTGATTGTCGTTGTCTGCGCTACCAAGTTTGACGCCACTCCTGCCAGAGGGGGTGATGGTGCACACCTCCTCGTACTTGGGGCACTTGATCGTGCCACCCGCAAAGTCAACGGACGTGGACGCAGGTGAGAGGAAGCCGCCCTCGGGGCAGTCGTGCCAGTCGCCGTCGCCGAGGTAGCGTACCTTGACGGAGTCCCTGGTGCACACCACCTCCGCGCAGACGGCGGCCACAGCGACCACGCCTGGCTCCGGGTCGTGCCTTTCCACATTCACCTTGAGCGAGTCCCCGTCGAGACACCACGAGCCCGCGCCCAGGCGGCTCCCGTGCAGGTTCGTGTTTTCCTCATTACGGCAGGAACCGAAAGGTGACGGGTTGATGAAAACGCATTTGTCACTCCGCGAAGCACTGCATAGGCCCAAGGCAACGCGGTCGCTCGTGCAGTACAAAGTGGTGTCGCTGGAGTTCTCGTGACAGAACATCGCGGGAAACTTGGTGTAGTCGTCCGGCTCGCACTCCTTTGCCTCAACGAAGTCGCACCCGGCGTTTCTGCCCCAGCTCATCGGCTCCGCCATGCTGAAGTTCGCCTTGAAAAAGCCCATGTCCTCAAACGCGGCCATCGTCAGCGCGGTGTAGAAGCCGGCGCCAGTAGCAACCGTGGGGCCCATCAGCTCGTCCTTGGCGTAGCGCCGATCCCAGTGCGAGCGCAGCCGGGATAACTCGTCGTATTCGTCCTTCAGGGGCATGCCCTCAAGGCTGCCGCAGTTGTAGTGCTCCTGCGCCTTCTCCTTGGTGAGACGGGAGGTCACCAACCCCGACTTTGCACCATAACTTCCTGCGGTGACGGTGCGCACCATCTTCTGGGCATCCATCTGTTGGTAGGTGAACCCGAGCACGTGCGCGAGTTCGTGTGCAGCGACGCGGACGGCGAACCACGGGTGAAAGACGCCGGATAGATAGAAGTTCATGGCACCGACGGTCGGGCGGTCGTCCTCCTCGGCCGTGACGCACGGAACGGCGAACATCACAGACGGCCCTGCGGCCAAATAGAGCACCGCGTCGGCGTCCGGAACCCCATCCGTGTAGTGTTCCTCGGGCACGGTGAAGTGCCTGCACTTCGTTTGAGTGATGGTCCTGGGCACAATCAACCGGGACTCCGTGCGCCGGACGAGGAGGCGCTCCGCGTGCAGCTTGATGGCCGATGGGATGATCGTTTGGAGCAGCTCAGCCTTCTTCCGACTGGTAAGGATGTCGTCCTCCCGGCACTCGCCATCGTGGCCCTCAAACGTCGGGCGGCGCTCTCCTTCCTTGGTGCAGTACTTGCTGGGGTCGTCCAGGTCCCTCGCGGAGGCCACGATGCGGACGGGTTCCCAGCCCCCAGCACCGCCCGCCCCTGCAGCGGCGGTGTACGCCCGCGAGGCGCCCTGGCCCTTTCGGGGCAACTCCCGCAGCATCTTCACCGGGCGCGAGTCGCTCTCCGCCATCAGCTCGTCGAAGATGCATCGGTGCGTGGCGGCGGCAGCGGCGTGGCTGCCAGCGGCGCTGCACAACAGCAGCAGCAACGACAAAAGT